AAACAAAACATTGTTCAAAAAATTATATAAATAAACAAATATTAAGTGAACAAAAACAAAAACAAAAAAAGTAAGGAAAGGCTAAGTTTGGGTGCATCCGAACATTTTATACCCTTGCAACTTGTAAGGATCAAAGCTCGGGAAATTACTTCAGATGTTGACACAAAAACATACTGTTATCGAGAGTTTCATTTATTTATTTTATTATATGAATTTCAATTATATATCTTACACATTGACCAATATTTTCGGTAAAAAGTCAACTATAGGCACTGGGGTCAACATATTTAGTACCTACGGGCTTGAACAGTTTTTGTTCGATTTAGACAATTTTTGGTCACAAGGTCGCTTACTTTAAACGCATTGTTCACGCAAAGTTTTGCCCCGATACAATCATTGTTGCTTGATTTGCATAGTGGTAAGTGAAAGAATCAGATGAAATTTAAAATGGTGTATATATGGAAAATAGGCGTAGTTGTAATCCGATTTTGCCCATTTGAAATCGGTTAAACAGATCCCAAGATATGGGTTTTCACCTAAAAGTGAGCGATGCCACGCCCACTGTCTAATTTTGAACGCGGTTCCTATAAAGTCATCTCATACCATCCCTGAAGTAAAATTTAATGTCTCTGGCATGTTTAGTGCTTGATTTATCGCGCTTTTAGTATTTTTTAACAGTACCGTTATATGGGGAGTGGGCGGGGTTGTCACCCGATTTCACCCATTTTCACACTGTCGAAAGAGGTTCTAAAAAAATGTGTTCCTATTTGTTATGTTGATGTGATTCTGTGTACCAAATAACAGTCTTGTATCTTATAGTGGAGCTTAGTTATGGCAATTTATTTGTTTTTGAAAGATCTTGATATTCCTATGGTAAGTAAAGAAGTAGACGATAGTAGAAAAAACTACGAATTTACGCTCCATAACCATCCAAATCCATTAGCTAATGTCTTATTACAGTCTAATCAAATCGGCTTAAAAATTAAACATCTACCAGCCTTCTAAAGAGCAAAGTATCACCAAACAGGCTCAACTAAAACCTTGAGCTTGGCTAGTTTTAATTAGATTTAAGATATTATTACTTATTGTTAGGCTTTGAACAAGCAGATGTAATAAATAAAGATATTTTAGCAAAAAAAAATACTTCCTTCTTAAATTAAAATATTTACGAAAATCCCGTATATCTTTTTACCTTGCAAAAGTATAAAATGTTCGATTACACCCGAACTTAGTCAGTTTTTTATTATGTTGATATACCATACACGACATGAAGTACGATAAATTTTCAGCCGTATTCATTGTTTACTTTGCCTGTAGCAGCCGCTAAGGTGTATGTTTTTATTAGTTTGGCGATTTTGGTTTGTTAAAAGAAATGGATTCAAGAATTTGCATAATTGTTTTCCGTAAAAAATTACATAAAATGTAACAAAGTGTGTGAAATGTTAATAAAGGCCTGTGGCGAGTCAGGTACTCGGCTTACTTGAATTCATTTTTAGGGCAAAAAATGACTAAATTTCAAAAATTAACCGCTATGTCTACATTATCTTAACAGAACTTGTTTAAATGATCCGAATAGTGTTTGTGCTGCTTGTAGTGACTATGTGTTTAGAAAATGTCGTTTAAATACGGCTGATTCTATAACAAATGCCTATTTGGAAAGCCATTACATGGCTGATATGCGTCGATCTTAAAATGGTAAATTTTATTTTGAGTCAACAAGGAGGATATACCAAATACCCCTGTTTCATGTGCTTACGGGATAGCGGAGCCAAGATAGACCACTGAATTTTGAGAGTGAATTTAGTACCGGGTAGTATGAATGTGATTACTAGCCCCCTAGTAGCCACAAACCGCATTATATTACTTCCATCATATAAAGTTAGGTCTGATAAAAAAGTTTGCAAAAGCTCTAAACAAGGATGGGGATAATTTTAAATACTTCTGCTCAAATATAAACGAGACTGGCTCAATAAAACAAAAACGGTTAATTATTCTTCAATATTTATTTTATTCCCTTCAAAATAGTCACCATTAGAAGCGATACACATATGCCACCTTTTTTTCCAATCTTCATAACACTTCTGGTAGGCCGCTTTAGGTACGGCTTTCAGTACCTTCTTCGAATTCTCTTTTATGACTTCAATCGACTGAAAATGCTTTCCACGAAGCGGCAATTTGAGTTTAGGGAAAAGAAAAAAGTCACACGGTGCCATGTCGGGTGAATACGGTGCTTGCGGAACAATATTTACGTTGTTTTTACAGTTTTGCGTTCCTCTTTTTGAAGAAAATTCAACAATTTTGGAACAAGTCGAGCAGACACACGTCTCATGCCCAAAACATCGTGAATAATGCTATGAGCGGATCCATTTGATATGTTGAGCTCACTAGCTATCTCTCTTTCAGTCACACGACGATTTTCCAACACAATTTTCTTTACTTTTTCGACTTATACCAATCAAAAATACGTTCACGTGATAGGCAAGACTCCCCATATGCCTTCTGCAACATTTTCATTGCGTCCGTCGCACTTATTCCATTGGAATAACAAAATTTCAAACAAATTCTTTGCTCAACGTTAATTTCCATAGTAAAATTCGAAAAACACACTCGAGGTTGACTTGTTTATAGTGCCGTAAAAAAAAAACTATGTGACAGATCGCGCTCAAATTTGACATGTAAACATATAACAGTCCTGCCAACCTAAGCAAAAAAAAGTATGGCCATATGTCATGTCCTTGTCGAGTTATGGATAAAGTCTCGTTTAAACTAAGGCTGGTATTTTTGACGGTCCTTTAATCAGGGAACGAATAAAGGATAAAATTTTTAATGATTGTATGACAGATAAGGAAAAATCTGCATGAATTGAATTTATTTGGGTTGTGCAAAATTTGTTGCAAAATAAAAAGTCTCCATACTACATTCAACACATTCAGCAGCTCATGTTGCACTTTCAAAGACTAGGATATAACATGAGCATCAAGATCACGGTTTCATCGACATTAAATATGCAATCGAGAGGCTTTCTCGAAGTAAACCTGCGTGCGTTTTCTAACCTCTTTTTAATTGGGATTTTTTATAGCGTGGATCTTGTTCTCATTGATTTTAAAACGAGAAACAGAGCTAATTCCTACTTTATACTTAATAGCTCCCTTCAATTGTCGCTGGGTTTTAAATAATTTAAAAGTGCAATTTTTTGCTTTGACGTTAGACTACAATGCAGGTGTATCACACAATCATATGCTTGATAATCGGTTTATTTGTTCGTCATTAAAAACTTAGTGTTTCAGTGTTAGAAAATTTGTTTAAAACCGATTAAAATTTGCACATAGTGATTTCAATTCGGTTGAAAATAAAATAGTTTGCATAAATGCGATATTTGCCTATAACCGGTTTACCTTCAAGCAACCACATTCATAGGAAATAACACTGTTTAATGCGATATTTAATGCAATTAAAAATCATAGAAAAACCAAAACGGTTACTCTTTTGTCTGGAGAAAAGAAGGTACTCCGCTCAATCAAGCTAATGTGGCTGACACTATAAAACATGGTGGCGATCACGCGGTTTGTAGAGAGCAATGACGGCAAATTAAAGTGGTTTGTTTTGTTTTATTGAAGGCATTATGATAAATGAGTTACTTGGACATATTAAAGGAGTACATTCCTTGACAGTTGAACAGTTGACAGTTGAAAAACTACAGTTGCCAACAACGTTTAACTTGACGCACGGCAACGAACCAAAGCATACGGCACTAATCATAAGGAAATGGTTGCTTTATAATGCGAAAAAACTGTTGCCCCAACTTCCCTAGATCTCCGATATCACCTCCATTGAGCATCTGTAGGCGCACATTGAAAAGGGATGGTGAAAACGCGAAATACCCGGCAAAAATGGCTCAAAAGCAGTAATTGAAGTAATCTTGATCAATCTTGATCAACATTCCAAGAAAGTCACAAAAATTCCGGTAGACTCCATGCGGCGACGTTTATAAGCTATATGTCATTATCTGTAATTTGTTTTTCATTGTATTCAGTAATGTATATAATTTTATCATGGAGAGAGCAACAATCAAAATAATCGTTCTCCAATTGAAACTTTAGGTTTCTCTTCTCCGATGAGGCTCACTTTCATCTGAGGGGTGCGGTAAATAAAGAAGACTGTCGATTCTGGCGTGAAAAAAATCCACAAATTAGTCATTAACAACCATTACATTCACCTAAATTGACAGTTTGGTGTGGTTTTTGGTCTGGGGGAATAATCAGTCCGTTCTTCTCTCGAATTAAAGAGCGGTATAGATCGATGATAACCAACTTTTTATGGCCGCAATTAGAAGAAGTTGATCTTGACAACATCTGGTTTCAACAAGACCAAGGGGCTACGTGCCACACAGCACGTGCAACAACCGAATTATTGCGAGAAAAGTTTGGATGATCGATAATTTCAAGAAATTGTGACATGGAATGGCCACCAAGAAGTTGTGATTAACACCACTAGACTACTTCTTGTGAGGTTTTTTGAAGTCATTGGTCTTCAGAAATAAACTAGACTCTTTTCAAGCCCTAAAAGTCAATATTGAACGTGCTCTTCATGACATTTGACTTGATTTAGTGGAATAAGTACTCTAAAATTGGGTTCATCGAATTCGTACCTGCAAAAGAAATCGTGGGGGCCATTTGAACGATGTTAATTTCAGAACTTAATTGGATCGATTGTACTTCACATTAAATAAAACACATTTTAATTTCCTTAATTATTAGTGTGTGTGTGTTTTTTCTTAATCATATCACTCTTATTGGAAACCCCTTTATAATAAAATACGATTTGTATTTTGAACTTTGGTTGAGTTGTACTCAAGTATGTTTAAAAGATTTGCACGCAAACGATACCAGTGTGCTCCCTAATTTTTGGGTCACTGTATGTCTCTTTGCTAATTTCGTATTTATCACGAAGCAATATTATATATATATTAAAATTTTGTGATGTAATAATTTTTATCTTACTCCTTTTGTATTGACCTCTTTGTACGCATATGTTGCTTTCCTTTTAAGGATACGTCCGCACGAAAATCGATTGATTTTGCACAGTCTAAGCCTGGAAGAGCTTCTATGGCACTCACCCTACCTGTATCGACCGATACAGCTTGCTGATTTGTTTCTTTAGTACCTTCGAATAAATTCGATTGGGAATCGGTAACAATTTTCCCGGCTGATCTATGGTCTGGGCTCTGTAAAGATATGTCAAATATATGTTATGAATGTAATTTCAAATATACTTTTAATTGACAACATGAAGATATACAAGATATACATATATAGATATATATATACTCATCAATATAAGTTGGAAATTCATATGAAATAAAGCCTTGGCAATATTTTCAAGTGCCTGCGAAATACACAATAATAAACAGGTACGGAAGGCTTAAGTTCAAGTGAAACCGAACACTTTATGTAACTGATCAAGGTCTAGACCAATTTTAGTCATATTCAGCGCTAAACAGTTTATTTATAAGAAACATTGTTCACTTTATTTCATTAAAATATTCCACATATTGACCGACATAAATGCTTTAAAGCAAATTGGAGAGTCAATATGGATAAAAGCACTACATCTTCTATATTACAGCTAACACAGACGGATGAACAGACAGTCACCCGGATTTCAACTCGTCTCGTCATTCTGACGTCCGTCCGTTCATTTGCCTGTGAAAGCTGTAACTTGAGTAAAAATTAAGACAACTTGATATTGATAGCTAAAAGAATAAAAAAACAGCAAAGAGCGTAGAATAGTTGGTATACCCCACAGCGCCCTAAGGAAAGCTATGACTATAAAACCCAGTTTTGTTTGTACGAATATACAACGCGTGCATAATAGAAGAGGTGTTCCCCGACAGCTGGAAGATACAGCGTTTGGTTGGTAAAGTGTACGAAAGAATTGTAAGAATACGCTTGGAATCCGGCGGATTATCGGAAAGACAATACGGTTTTATAAAAAAGAGATCCACTATTGACGCACTAAGAGAAGTAGTTGATATTGCTTAATGTGCAGTAAGTGGCAAAAGATGGAAAGGTGGCACAAAAAAGTATTGCACGCTAATTACCCTGGATATAAGAATACGTTTAACTCGGCAAAGTGGGCAAATATAATCAAATCTCTATACGAAATACGCACTCCCCATTATCTCGTAAATATTATAATGATCTATTTTGAAAACCGAAGATTGTTATTCGATACGGACGAGGGCACTGAGAGCTAGACTATCTCGAGTGGAGTACCACAAGGCTCGGTCTTACTATCGATACTTGATGTACGACAGAGTACTAAGAATACATCAACAAAAAAAACGTGGAAACAATAGCATATACGAATGACCTCATAGTGGTAGCAGTGGCTAAACATTTAGATTACACCCGCTCAAATGCAATGATTACATAAATGGTCTGCGCCAATGGTTTACTACCATGAGTTTAGAGCTGGCTGAGCAGAAAACAGAGATCTTGCTCATAAGAACAAGGCAGGTGGAAGAAAGGGTATTACTCACCATAGGGGAGTGCGAGATTACTTCAAAGCCGCAGCTGAAGTATCTCTATCGAGAATGATGGCCAATAGAGGCTGTGTGAGTTCCAGCTGGCAGTTGTTAATAGCAAAAGCAATGCCTTACAATGTGGCAGGAACGATGGCAAACCTTATTTACGATGAACGATGGGCCCACATACTGATACCAGACATTTCGTGGATAAACAGGCATGGGGACATGAATCTCCACCTAACCCAAATACTTCGTGGGCATGAATGCTTTAGAAGGTATCTATTCCAAATTCATCATGACGTTAGTCCGTATTGTCCGACGTGCATAGAAGACTCTGAACACGCAATTTTTAGTGCCCCCGTTTTTTTATTATTTGGGGGAAAAGTTAAAACCTACACTCGGCGGTAGTTTAACAGTGGAAACTTTGACAGCACATATGTGTCAGTCCTCTGTTAAATGGAAAGCTGTCAACGAAGAGTCAGCTCTAATAATGACAAAACTAAGATACTCACAACAGAATAGGAGTCAGTCAGTCCGTACTGTTGAGGAGACTGAAATGTCATTTTCTCTCCCATCAAGTAATACTTAATCCGGTGGTTCAGTGGGAGAAAATATAAGTAATTTTATCGTTCATTTTGTATGGCAGCTATATGCTATAATGATCCGATATCACAGGTTTCGACAAATTAACAGCTTTTTTAGAAGAAAAGGACGTGTGCAAAATTTCATACCGATATCTCAAAAACTAAGGGACTAAATAAACTCAGCTCGTTACGCTGAACACGCTATTTTTTAGAGTCTCCGACGAGTATTTATGGGTGTTACAAACATCATGGCAAACTGAATATACCCTGTTAAGGGTTTAAAAACGCACGAATATAGTTATAGACCCAATATGTTGGTGATAATTTAACTTAGATGGTTTTTGTGTCATGTATTTAATTTTTGTACTGCGCGTTACTATCGTTAATTATATAACTTGTATGTATCACTGCAACCTGTTTGAATGTTTGTACATAAATTAAATATAAAAACAATTTTGTGGTTTTACTTATATTTTTTTTTTTTAATTTTTGTGTGTTTATAATTTTTTTGTAAACTATACAATCTACATTTTCTTTCGGTAAAGCTCGAAGGACCATGAACGATTAGATAACCAGTTATTGGCGAACACCCACTACCGTGCTTAAAATGTTAATACTTAACTCTGATACCCGAACTTAATGATTTCAATAAAAATGTCCGTTTCCTTTTCTAATCCGTGTAAAATTATTTAGATCTGTTTCACAATTTCATTTAAACCAGTTATATTTTAATTTTAACAAATTAATATAAAAGATGTCGATGAGTGGGGTGGCGAATAAGGTGTAAGAGCGATGGGCCAATCCCATTTCGTTAATTGGTGGTGTGGGGTCTCATCGTGTATGGTGTCATCTTGTGTGGTGTGTAGTATTAGGATGTGTAAATTTTTCTCGGGTCGATTGATGTAATCATGTGCTACAAGGCGTAATATGGTGTTTTTTAGGGAGAGACTGAGCTCATTTAGCTATATCCAAAGTTTTAATATGCCCTAACCTTCTGAAGTTTATGAATGTGTCCATAGATATGCTGTTTTTAACAGTGTGGTTTGTTCTCAATCGCTGACCTTAACGTCCGGATACTGTTTTTATACTATCCCGGACCATTGTTCGAGTCAAACTTTGAGTTCTGCAAAATTTTAATTCAATAGTTCATGCATAATTAGCACTTTGTTATAGAATGTTTTGATACCATAATAGTCACAAATAACGCGTACCGTTTTTGAACTAGCAACTTCATAACTGCAAAAAAAACAGGGAATCGCTTACAACATTTACATATTTAGTAATGATTGTGATGACTCATCTGATGCCAATGAAAGGTTTAGGAAATGTGCACCAGGAATATCTCCTATCCGTACCGCCAGCAGCGGACTTAGGCTCACTACGGCCCTAGGCCAGGTCCCATACGCCGCCCTTTTGATCAACAAAATTCTATAAATTTTGTTTTGAAATATAATTTTTATTTTTTTGAAATATAATAATGATTATAATTATTGTTTAATAAGAATACAAATAAATATTTATTCAACTCTTACAAAACAATAATAACAAGCATCTTTTTCGTGTAGAAATATTAACTATGTCATCGTAATCCATTTCTGGAACTAGTTGAGCTTGAATAGGCCTATATTAGCCCATACTTGCGCGTATACTGAACAATTCGTAGCGGGAATATTCAAAAACATACGTAGAGCAATGTCTGCATTCTGATAAACATCTCAAAGATTTTAAGAATGCAATACTTTGTTCCCTATTTGGCAGGGAATCTTTGAGTTGACATTGTAAATGAATACATTCATTCCTTAATATATAGTTCATAGTTATAAAATCTCGAGTTTCCTCCTGTAAATTCCATCGAAAGAGATCCCTACTTAATGTAAAATATCAGTTCTTGACTATGTTTCCCCGGCATCTTCTGATAGAGGAAAATCTCAAGGCCTTTCGTTCAGATCTGTATCTTGCAATAAAAAAGGATTTGATTGTACTTCTTCGATATCTTGTGCTGAAGAATTGCATAATTACGGCTAGAAAAATTTTTTAACAACTTAAAATAATTTATTCTTAATTAAATTTGAAACAGTATGTTCATAAAAAAAAATATTAACAATGCATCAAAATACTTACGGCAGATGAACCTGATTCACGACTTATCATTACTAATAATTTTGTTGAGTATGTCATAAAATTATGTATTTGTGGGATTTGTTACAGTAAAATTTTTTTTTTGAAGATTCTTCTGCTTTCATTTACATTATTCTGCACCGGTAAGTTTTTTTCGATAGTAACTCACAGTTAATAGAAACAAGTAAGGAAGGACTAAGTTCGGATGTAACCGAACATTTTATACTCTCGCAAAGTCAAATGGTATACTCGTTTGAGATTTCTTTGTGGATTGGCTGATATTTTCGGTAGAAGGTCAACTATGGGCACTGGGGTCCACATATTTAGTACTTAGGGGCTTGAACAGTTTTAGTTTGATTTAGACAATTTTTGGTCACAAGGTGGCATACTTTAAACGTATTATTCACGCAAAGTTTTACTCCGATATAATCATTGTTGCTTGATATGTTTAGTGGAAAGTGAAAGAATCAGATGGAATTTAAAATGGTGTTATATGGGAAGTAGGCGTGGTTGTAGTCCGATTTCGCCCATTTTCGCACTATAATATAGAAATATGAGAAGAATGTTACGTACCGAATTTGGTTGAAATCGGTTAAGCAGATCTCAAGATATGGGTTTTCACCTAAAAGTGGGCTGTGCCACGCCCACTGTCTAATTTTGAACGCGGTTCCTATAAAGTCATACCATACCATTCCAGGGATAAAATTTAATGTCTCTGGCGTGTTTAGTGCTTGATTTATCGCGCTTTTAGTAGTTTTTAACAGTACCGTTATATGGGGAGTGGGCGGAGTTGCCAGCCGATTTCAACTATTTTCACACCGTCAATATAAGTGCTAAAAACATTTGCTTCCAGTGAATTTTGTTATTATAGCATTAGCGGTTTAGAAGATATGCACATTAAATCTATTAGAGGCGGGACCACGCCCACTTAAAAAAACAAATTTAACTGCAGATGCTCCTCCCTAATGTGATCCTGTGTACCAAATAACAGTC